TTAAAACAGGTCTTCACATACAGTTGAACAGACAATCAAATAAATGCTTTCCAAATTTTCTTGATTGATCAATTGAAATCAAATACAAGTACATTACTCGTTAAAACCATACCGTTAAGTAAACAGAAAAAGAAGGACAAAATGACAGATTGTTGTCCAAACATGCAGTAGCATCACAGACATGTCTAGTTGTAGGCATCAGGGTTGCCCAAAAGGTACTTCTCAACGACCTTGAACAAACCAGAGGCTCTTTCTTTGCCAGCCTTAACATCCTCCTCCTTGATCTCAACATCACCTATTGAGTGGTAGTTGCTGGTGTTCTTTATGATGGAACCTCCATCAGCAGATGCCACCAACTTAATCTCATAACAGATTTTCTGAATCTTGTCTGTAATAGAATCTCCTTCAATCAAACTGTAGCTGTACACAAAGTTATCTTTGTCAAGCCGGTCAATCCGGTACTTCACATAGCTGTATTCACTTCCTGTAAAACGAAGACTAATTAGAAATTAAGAGATTACTGCTTTCAGGATTTATGTTAATTAAGCAAACAAGTTAGAAATTAAGAGATTGCTGCTTTCAAGATACATATTAACTAGAAAACCAAGTTAAGTTAGTACAGAGAGAGAGAGAATGGTGGAAAGTAAACAAACCTTCACCAAATCTAATCTTCTTGATGGTTCCAACACCTCCATCTCCTTCAACAATTTCAGCACTTTTAACTGCTTGTGAAGCAATCTTTGGTACCAGGTTGTCAGCATCAAGAACAAGAGCTTTGAACAATCTAGGTGGGGGGATGACAGAGGTGAGCTCAGTTTCATATGTGAACACACCCATGATGATGATTTAGAGTTAAGAAGTTGATGAAAGCAAGAAATAACCAAATGTTTGGGAAGCAAAGTGAACTGCTATGGGGAGATCTAGTGTTTGATGTTGGAATGAATGAGCACTGGAGGTTGTATTTATAGGTAAGGAGAAAGGGCATGCTGTGTAAAGTGGCCCCAAAAGATAAAGGAGTTTGGACGAGTTTGGACGAATTTTTTATTTTTCAATGGTTGAAAAAGGAAACTACAGTTTTCGTACATGGTAATTTTCCGTGTTCTGGATAAAGCCATTTAGAGATGCAATATTGTTGACCCAATGCAGCCAAAGTTGAAATATGCAAGTCAAGTCATCCTATTTGAAGTTCTGGAAGTATATACTAGCTGTGACGAACGCACAACAATATTGGTAAATTTCAAATTTGGAAGTATCTAGTAGCTGTGACATGGCAACTCATGTCATTGCCATCTCATTTCATTTATTAAACTGGTGAAATGCCCCCTGAAACTTTTACTTAATTTTCAATTTTTTCCATTTCCTTTTTTTTTTTAAATTTTAAATTTTTATATATTTTTTAATTTATTTAATTTATATATATATA